TGGCAACTACCTGTAACTCTAGCTCCAAGTGATTCAACACCCTGTTTTTATTTATCTTCAGGCACCAGCACACACAGAAATGTAAGTAAAAATAACAATTTTTTAAAAGAAATGTTTCCATATGCTGCTACTCTGTAAACTAATCATAATTTTTATTTGTTCGAAGAAACTTGTGTAGACCTGTCTTCTGCCTGGCAAGCTAGACTGGCAAGCAGTGGACAGATGCCTTCTCAAGCTGGGATTCACCAGCTTGCTTCAATCACCACAAACTAATTTGATAATGGACTCTCCCTAGGAGGGGAGGGGCAGAGAGAGTCAGTCATGCCTTCTATCCAACCAGCTGGCCTGAATGGTACATGGGGAAGGGACTAAGGATAGGGCCAGGGGAAGCCAGAAAAAGGGGGTGGCCTTTGCCATCTTGGTCACCCATTGGGAGGTTACAGGATCCTGGCCAAAAATGTAGAAAGAAGAAAGCCCTCGGGAGCTCACACCTTTGTAAGGAGCCCCCGACCCCCTGCTCTGTAATGAGTCCAATAAATTCATTTGCTAGAATTTTCCAAATTTCAGTTTTGTAGAATTCGTGCCTTGTTTTGTGAGAGGAGGGGACTGGAAGCCTAGCGTGCCTTCCAGAAGTAATTTTTATCCAAAAAACTCAAGAGAAGAATTCAAGAGAAGTTGAAAGACCAGCACAGTGATCACTAATAACTAAATTTTGTTTTGTCAGTACTGAACAACCCATATTTGCTTTTCCACGCCCTCTGTTTCAACATCACATATGCAAAGCTATTTGTCCAAACGCCCAACAGAGATTGCATACTCATATCCCAGGATGCATTCCCCAAGAAGCTTGGTTACCATGCCAGACCCAAGAAGAAACAATATAAATTAAATGCTATCTAACACATAGTCAATTTCACCTGTGGTCATATAACAGTTCCTCATACCTGTGTGTGTGTGTGTGTGTGTGTGTTTGTGTGTGTGTATGTGTGTCTGTGTGTGTGTCTGTCTGTCTCTCTGTCTGTATTTGTGCCTGTGTGTGTGTCTGTGTGTGGGGACTGACATACATGTAGTTTGGGCCACTCCAGGAAGAAGGCAGCCAAATTATGGTCTGAATAGAAAAGAAAACCAAATGACTTCCCAGAGGCCTTTATATGGTAATTTTATATCATTTCCCATAACTAGTAATTTTCTGCTTTTCTTCATTTCTTTTGAATGGAAGAAACATTATGTAAACATTATATAAAAGATCAAAGTTTAAGATTTCTATTTTTTATTCCTTTAAACTATTATATATATATAGATA